AAGGATCAACCAAATTTTCCTTTGATCATATACATTCTACACTAATCACTCTATCCCTAATTAACATTTTGATGGAGTTATTCTTGCAATATATATAGATTTTCCATTATACACACCATTACAAGCTCTCGTTATAATAGCTTAATTATTACAATATATTGTTATTGTAGTGATTTGTTTTGATCATATGGGAATGTCATATAACAAGTTCTTTAACCATTCTGCTTCTTTACCTGTATAGTCTAGCAATAATTTCAGACTCCATAGTAGAGCATGAAATACACATTTGTTAATTTGACGTCACCCTATGATATTACACCACCCGCTAGTGTAAATATCCATCTGAATGTTGATAGTGAGTATTAGATATCTTTGTTCCAATTAGCATCAATATAACCTTCCAACACTCTGGGATAACCTACATATTTTATACCATAATTGATATTTCCTTTCAAGTATTTTAGTTCTTGAGATATACAATCTCAATGCTCTCTACTTGGGCAACTAGTATATCTACTAAGTTTGCCCACCGCATATGCAATGTCAGGTCTCGTCTTAGTCATTGCATACATTAAATTACTAATTACCCTAGCATATTCAAGTTGTGATATACACCTTCCATCATTTTTTTTTAACTTAATATGAGGATCTATAAGAGTAGAGACTGCCTTACTATCAGTATGTTCAAATTTATTACAATTTTCCAATATAGTGAGATTGAGTCAAGATTAATTCTTTTTATTTTCTCACTATTTTGATATCAAGTATCACATTAGCCTCTCCTAAGTCCTTCATATCAAAGTTAGATGTGACGGTTCTTTTAGTTTCATTTACAATTTCTAGATTTGTGCTAAAAATAAGCATGTCATCTACACAGAGACAAATTATGACGCATAAATAATTTAATTATTTTACTATGAATACAGTTATCTATGAATTATTTTACTATGAATAATTTAATTATTTTACTATAGTAATATGATGCAACAACCTTAAAAAAACCATTTTATGGCCATTTGTTTGATCCAAATTTTGAAATATACACTATTTTAATTCTAATGAACAATCACAAAAAAAAAAAATTGAAAACACAACCTAGAAAGTAATTTTTTAGCCCAATTAACATAGGTCGTTCATTTTGGTAAAATGCTTAGATTTACGCCTTAGAATGATTTTTTTATTCCAATTTTCTTGGATGGCTTTCAGTATCATTAGATGAACAATGTTAAAGAAGAAAAAAAATGATTTTGAGTTTATAAAGGTTAAGATCCTGAAATTCACAAAATAAATGGTCTAGATTCATTTTTGGAGGGGACTCATTTTGACCATATCTAGGGTTCAAATTGAATTTATTTTTTGAGGGGATTGATTATTGAGATGAAGAGAGTGTGTGTGCAGAATTTGGGGTCAT